TGATTTTATCAAGATTTATCTTATCCACGTTTTCATTGTGGATTTACATGAAATATGTAACAGCTATAAATGTATAGAGGTCAGATTCATATGGGTAATGTCACTGTTCACTGCCATGCAGGACAGAGGTTCGTACACAAAGAGATGCATCATATTCATTGACAGTACATATACTGTAGGTACACACACACATACCGTACACATATACATACATATACATATATACATATACAGAAAGTAGATAGAGGATAACTTGATGTTGTGTAGTAAACTTAAACATTTTATGCCAAGATCATAAGCTCAATAGACTACTGTACTAGTTGCATAGCTATGGTTGATAACACCATGAAATGTGACTGCACGTCAGGAAACTGTGTACTATATACAGTACAGTGTGCCATAACTGATGCAGGATTACAATCTATGTAGTTACCGGACAGCTTTTCATATAACTTTATTTTAATACTCCTCTGTCAGGAGTGGAAGCCCCATCATAGTCAGAATAATTTCTTCATTTGTGATTTCTGGAGTATATTTTTACAAAATTTTTAATGCAGATTTTCACTTCACCCATTAGAGGAAAAGGGGTGATGATTTTCTCAGGTACAGTAATAGATCACCATCATAGAAAGTACAGACTCATCTTTGCAAACTTTGAAATGTGAGGATATACAGGGTGTCCATAAATGATTACCCTAGACACAGTATGCTCTCATGTTTTAATCAGGGTAATCATTTATGGACACCGTAAAGAATAGTAAAAACTCGGGCATTTAAGATCTTTAATTTTGGGAGGCTCCTGTTAGTACTGTAATTAAATGATACCTTATTAGAATGGTTTGGGGTATGATGATATCCAAGGTCTCCAGAAGACTTTTAATTCATTGGCTGTAAAGTAGTGAATATTTTGCTTCAGGGAAAAACTTTAATGAGTTTGGTGTTAATAGCAGTGATTACAAATGTTACCCGGTAGGTTTTACTTAAATTTCATATTTTAACCAGGACCAGTGTGAAGTTTAGACAGGTATGAGTGCCAGGGACTGATGATTTTAAAAAATACTTCATGTTATTACTTTATTATGTCCTTTGATTTAACTAACGAAGGAACTGTACTGTTTTTACTTAGCATTTGATTTTTTCAATGGCAAAGATGGCGAGTATCAAGAAGCCCTGATCATCATCGTACCAGGAGTCCTGTCCACATAGAAAGTAGTAAAAAGCGAGAAAAGAGCGTATCTGACACAAAAGAAGAGAAGAACGAGTCGGATCACCTGGATGTCTTAATGGAAGAAGATTCTCAGAAACTGGTTGGGGAAGATGAAGTAGAGGACGAAGAAGTAAAATCAGCCTGGGTACGCTCAGCTCCAGCTGACCTGTACTACCAACGAGATGATAAGTAAGTTTGATTTTGTTGGTTAAACACAGCTCAGCTTAGTTTTGTTGGAATTAATGTTTTTATCAATTATTAATTAACAGGAAAGTTGTGCTCCACCCAGTGGATGAAACAAGAACTTGGCATCTGGTGGGGGTGTAGCATCGCATAGAGCACCTTATAGATTTATTAATTTTTTGCTCATTGTGCAATTTGACGGCATGTACAGAGTGCTAAGAATATGATGGGTTAATTTTGTGTTTATTTCATGCATGGGATGGTGAAGCATACTTCAATATATTATATAACTGTAGTAAAAAAGTACCAAGCTAACTTCATTTTGTGTAGTGTACTTACAAACATATCCTTAGTTGAGGTCTACTGAAGTTTCTAATCATTGTATGTGACAGTCATTACAGTGTAGTAAGTTTGGCTGTTGTGGAAAGTTGTGCACTTTTTACTTAAAAGTATTTTAGTAAGTTTATGTGATTAAGGTTTGGTAATAAGTGATTTTTTATATACCTGTACACTGTACAGTGCTGTACTGTAATGTATAAGCATTAAGTTTACTAGAATTAGAATACAGTATTTTTCATTAACTAATACTATATGGCCGTTATAGCTGTAATGTGGTTAAATGTGGTTAGAGCTTAATATAAGCAGTATTGCATCTCAATTTGTACTGCATTAAAATTTAAATGCAAACATGTATTTGACCCCAGCCTTGTTTTGTATTGGATAATGTGTACTGTATTTTTAAATACAATAGCACTCTTTTATTTAGTCACTGTTTTGTTAACGCTCATAGGAGCGTTATTGGTTTGTTGCTGGAGAAATAAACCCTCAACGTTGACGTGTACCATATAATTCGGTCAAAACGTTTTAGGGTCTAGTGGTCTGAACCAACGTGTTGTCTGTCCTGTAGAAATCAGTAGACTACCCTCGAGGGCAATCTCAGCCCGGAGGCGAGGGCCATATGTTTTCGTATTGAAACACCTCAGCAGATTGGTCAGCAAATTCGTTGTCAACACTATATCTCTTATCTCATACCCTCTCTCTCTCGCCTAGTTTATCTTATTATGGTTATCCCTCTCTTTCTCTCTCTTCTAGCTTATCTTACTGTGGCGGTAACACTCCCCCTGTCGGGCTTCGCACGAAATCACGGCATATTATTAGATTCACTCTCCCACCCCTTCCAACAGGCAGAGTTTCGTCACTGGGCGTATTAACACTGAGTCCTTTGTCTTCACTTTAACACTTCGCACCAGGCCATCTTTGCTCGGTAGAGCTTCCAGTACTCTCCCTAGCATCCACTGACTCCTGGGAAGGGGTTGTCCAGAGATGATCACGATATCCCCAGCGTGGAGATTACGGCGAGTTTTGAAGAACCTTTGTCGCTGACGTAATGTTGGGAGATATTCTTTTACCCACCTTTTCCAAAATTGGTCCGCAATGAATTGGGCATGCTTCCATCTTCGTCGGTACCCTTCTGTCATGGACCGATCGCCTCCGGTGGACAGTGTCTCCGGGTTCATCCGTAGTATGTGGAGCGGCGTTAGTGCTTCTAGATCCTTTGGGTCGTCAGACACTGGGGTGATGGGCCTTCCGTTGATGATCTCTTCTACGGCACAGAACACAGTGCTGAGGCGTTCATCGTCTAGTGTCTGGGTGCCCACCACTCCCTGGAGGACCTTCCTTACAGTGCGGATTTGTCGCTCCCACACTCCTCCCATGTGAGAGGCTGTCGGGGGGTTGAACTGCCATTCTATCTGTTTCTGTAGAAGGGCATTCCCGACCTTGTCACTGTTGTTCCAGCCGTTCACCGCCTCTCGTAACTCTCGGTTAGCTCCAATCATGTTGGTTCCCCTGTCAGACCGAACACGCTTGGGAGGTCCCCTGTGGCAGGTGAATCTTGTTAGGGCATTGAGGAACGAGTCGGTGTCTAGTGAGGTGAGGACTTCTAGGTGTATGGCTCTGGTGGTCAGGCAGGTGAATAAGCATCCCCATCTCTTCGCCCGGGCTCGTCCTTGTTTAACCAAAAAAGGGCCGAAGCAATCAATTCCAGTGTAGGTGAACGGCTGGCCTCCTGGGCGCACTCGATCTTCTGGCAGGTCGGCTTGGCGTTGATGGGTAGGCCTCCAGTTGCTTCTTCGACAAGTCACACACGTCCGTATTGTGCGGTCGAGTAATTTTCGGCACTTAGGTATCCAGTACGTCTCACGTATTATGGCAAGAGTGTGTTCTCGTCCTGAGTGTCCAGCTCTAGTTGAGTGTACCTCTCTCACGATGAGCCCCGTGATCCTGTTGTCCCTTGGTAATAGTATGGGATTCTCCTGGTCTGGGTGGAGAGCGGCGTGCTTCAGTCGGCCACCTACTCTGATCAGACCGTCTGTGTCTAGATGAGGTTCCAGCCGCCTTATGTCGCTACCTCTCACGGGTTGTCCCTGTAGTAACATTCCTAGTTCTCGAGGGAATCCTTTCCTTTGCATAAATCTTAAGACAGCTAATTTCGCCTCTTCCAATTCGCTGACCTGGAGCCGATTTTTTCGGTGATGTTTGTTCTTTCGCTTCCCAAGCCGCCATTCTATAAACCTTCTAATCCACGCTACGCTCTTCAGAAGTCGATGCCACGATGAGTACCTGGCCCATAGCTTATCGAGGATACCCTCCCCCTGGTCAACGTTCGCCGTCAGCACCGTGGTTTCCTTCTTCACCTCTGGGTCTCCGTCTGTGAGGTCTGGAATCCTCAATGGACTCTTTGGCCAACTGTCTTCTTCCAAAAAGAGGAAAGCAGGTCCCCGAATCCACCTGCCCTCCTCGTTGAGCTCTGCTCCATGTAATCCACGACTAGCGTCGTCGGCCGGGTTCAGTGCCGACGTCACGTGGCGCCATTGTTCTACATTGGAGTCCTCGTGTATCGTTGCCACTCGATTGGCCACGAAGGACTGGAAGCGTCTTTCGGTGTTTCGTATGTATTGAAGGACTGCCGTACTGTCTGTCCAGAACACTGATCTGTCTATATGTAATTCAAGCTCTTGCCGTAGTTGTTTGTCTGCCTTAGCAGCCAGTACTGCCGCGCAGAGCTCAAGTCGAGGTATGGTCTGCTGTTTCAGAGGGGCTAGCTTGGCTTTGCCACACACGAAGGTGATATGGTGAGTTCCATCTTCACACGTGGTTCTCAGATATGATACAGCTCCATACGCTCGTTGGGAGGCGTCGCAGAAGTGATGTAGTTGCACGGTAGTCACTGGATTCATATCCTCTGGTCGGTAGCACCGTGGAACGTGAAATCGTGATAGGTGAGGTAGTTCATCCAGCCATCTTTGCCATGCGACCCTGTTTTGTTCAGTGATTTGTTCATCCCATCCAACACCTCGTCTACACTCATCTTGGAATATGATTTTGGCTCTTTCTGACTCCTACGCTAGCCACTCTCACACTGATTTCTTCGGTGTTTACACTATTACTTTCTTTCATGATTGTGCCAATGGAGAGGGAAACTGGCCTTCCCTCTGCCTGCAGCCGGTAAGCTAGACTACGCGTGCAATATGATCGGTTGCTGCCTGAATCCAAGAGAGCTCCGGTGACTACTGCTTCTTTCGCCTCTAGGTTCTTTTCTTCCACCCTGACTTTCACTATTGGAAGTGCGACTCTGCTGGAACTTTGTAGTCACAACTCGCAATCGTTGGGTTCTTCACGCCGATCATCAATTCCATTGTTGGTTATGGTTTCCCTGACCCATTTATGCGGATTTCTTTTCCCCATGGTGCTTGTACCGGCTTCGACCTTCCATGATTTAGCTCTACTAAATGCCGATTCCGGTGGTGGCATAATAGCCTTACGTTGACTCATTCTAGGTCGCTTGTGGTCAGGTGCTATGTCTATTTGGTAGGCGCCCCCTGTGGTAGCTCTCTTCACCCTTTGGAGGCTAGTCTGGTGTTCTCCCTTCTCAACTTCGCCCCGTTGCACCTTGTCATTGCTCGTCAGAGCTCCCGTGAAGTGCAGGAGCCTCGAGTGTACTCCAGAGCAGCCATCTATACCACATACCATCTTCTGGCTGCACTCTGTTATCCAGTGATTATGACCCAGGCAGGCATAGCAGAGACGTTCCCTCACAAGGGAAGTTCGCTTTCCTGTGGACATGCTGAGGAATGTCCGGCACATGTGAAGAAGGTGATCTCCACGGCATAGCGAGCAACGTTCATCGTCCATTTCTCTGGTTGTCTTTATTCCTGATGTCACCAGACCCACAAGTCTCTTCCTCGACGAGGATTGACGTGAGTCTGCATAAATTCTGCTTGGTTCTTCCTGTCCTCGTCCCTTTGTGACCTCCTCCGCCTTGTCGACCATATCCATTGTGAATTCCAACATCCACTCGATCCCAGGAAGCTTTCCCCACTTCCTTTTGTATTTATGCACCTTATCCACGTAGTCGTCCCTCATCTTTCCCTTGAACCTCTCAGCTAACGTGCTTATTGATTCATACGTGTCAATCTGACGTAGTTCTCCCAAGACCTTCAAGTTCCTCACGCAATTCCCCAGTTCGTCTGAGAACTGTTGGAGGCCCTTTGCGTCACTTAGTCTCACAGTTGGACCTCGCAGGGCCTTCTTTATTAGCTGGCAAACGTAAGTGTGCTTATTGCCGTGACGTTTCTCTACTATGTCCAAAGCTTCCTTGTACCCGGCTTTGGGATCTTGAATTTGCAGACATCCCCACAAAGCGTCCTTAGCGGGCCCAGCGTAGGCAGCGAGAAGTGTCTCTAATTTCAAGGTATCAGGTATCTGCGCCATCCCAACGTGTCGCTGAAAGACTCGCTTGAACTCCCAGTATTCACTACAAGTTCCTCCGCTGAACTTCGGCGTTGGCCTTTGGGAGAACCTCATATTCTCTAGCAGTTCTCTCACCCAAACCTCGGACCTCGGTGGGTCGTCCCTTTTGTCTTTCATCAAAGGTAGTGGTTTCGGCGAACTAGCTTGATGTTCGGAAGTACTTCCGCGCTCCCCCTGGTGAGATGTTCCCGGCT